AGCAACAAGACTGGCTGTTGAAAAGGCAATGACGTCCGACAAAGTGATACATCACACGTTCAGTCTCCTCTCGGTGTGTGCAACAACACCATTAAGTCTAGACATCGTGATCAGATACATTCTCAACGTTGATGACGAAATTAAAGATAAAGAAATGGTTGCTATGACAATTCAAAGGTGCTCACTACTATTATTTGGGGTGGAAGAGGAGGGTAGGGCCTGCATTCGAGTACATCAGATAGTGATTGATGTCATAGATTCTTTGATTAGAGGTTTCCCAAAGACTCAACAACTTCAAACTGTAGATGTCACCGTTAAATCATTCATCCAGTTCGTAGAAGACGACCTATCAATAGGGTGGTTCGACCGCGATTCTCGTAAATACAGCAAGCACCTTGTCCCTCATTTAAGGACCTTGATTTCCAAGAATGAACATTTCTTTCGTGAACGAGATATTTCTCAAAACCCCAAAAGCAGTGTAAGAAATGTTCAGAATGATCTGTCTTCATTTACAAAACTCGGGAAAATGTGTTTGACTCATAATGTACTCGACGCAGCAATGAAGTACTTTGACCTAGCGCTACAATTTGCTCAGCGTCTTGAAGAATGTGATCATGACAAATACGTGGCAGAATGTTACAGTAACCTAGCTGCTGTACACCACACCCTTTGTGACCTGGAGAGGGCAAAAGAGTATTATGTACGTGCACTTACCATTCGTCTGGAAAAGCTAGGCCCTGATCATGTTGATGTCGGAACGAGTTGTAATAACCTGGCTGCTGTGCACTACGACCTGGGTGACCTGGAGAAGGCAAAAGAGCACCAGGAACGTGCACTTACCATTCGTCGGGAAAAGCTCTGTCCTGATAATCTCCATGTCGCAACGACCTACAATGACATGGCTTTAGTACATCGCACCCTGGGTGACCTGGAGAAGGCAAAAGAGTACCAGGAACGTGCACTTACCATGCGTCTGGAAAAGCTCGGTCCTGATAATCTTGAT